TTTTTTGTTTTAGTATTTTGAAGTTGACCAATTGTTACTATAAGCAATTAATGATTATAGATGATCTGCACCGTAGATGAATTGAAAATTTTTAAAATTTGACCCATTTTTAAAATTTTGCCACGAGGCGCAGTAAATGGTGGTTTAAAAGGTCCCGCACCATAGTTCCTTCCTGTTCGAAAAAATTTGCATCACTTTATTTATTTATTATTAATCATTGTATATTTACGTTTTACAAAACAAACAAATAATAAATAAACTTTCTAAAAATGTGATTAATCATTGTATATTTACGTTTTACAAAACAAACAAACAATAAACTTTCTAAAAATGTGATAATAAACAAAATACATAGCGATTAACTAAGTAAACAACTGAAAAATAAATAAAAGGCTACGGTTAGCATTGAAGACCAGAAAGCTTCTTTTTCAGAAAAATAAATTTTTTATTTTATCGATTTTTTAACGAATTAAATATTTTAACTATTATTTATCAATATATACATATATACGTATATTTATAATACTAAATAATAATAATAATAATAAATAACAATAATAATGTCTGTATCAAAATCATCAGTGACAGTTAATATACCAGCAGTAAAAGACACTGGTGGTAAAGTTTTAAATGCCATGGCTACAGCAACACCACAAATTACCGGAGAGTCTGTTCAAACGACATTAGAGGTATTAGATAAAGTTGGTGTAAAAGACAACATCGAAGAAGCAATTCGGAATATTGATAAAGATACTCCGGAACAAAGAGAAGAAGAGAAAAGAATTACCAGGCGCATTTATAGAGTTGAACTATTATTAAAAATTTTTAATTTATTATACCAGTTTAATTATCCAACGGCTGACTTTATTAGGACTTAGTAGTAGTTTTGGCAACTTCCTTTATAATGTATTTATTGGATCATTCGTTTTCACCGAATGGGATTTCAGAAATATTTCAACCGTTGGTAAGATTTCCGGAGTGACAATAAGTTTACAAATCATACTTTTTATAATTTCAAATATAATTGTTTTATTTTATCGAAGATTTCACCCAAGCAAACAGTCACCTGCAAGATTACAAGGCCCAATTTATTATAATGGAATATTAAAAGGGTTCAATTTATTAAAGCCAAAAGTTGAATCTTATAATACATCAGTCAAGAAATTGGACGCTCAATTTTCTCAAATTTTGGGCGCAATTTCACAAGTCCTGATCATTATCGCAGCTTCATTCTCCGCCAGTAGTAATATAACATCTCTTAATGGAATCTCCGATAGTGGTATTGATACTGCCTTTCCAACTGGACTTGGAGGTTTTATACAAATTGAGAATAATCAAGTTGAAGAAGAATCAATAGCAGTAAAACATGCCGCCGGATTTGCTAAAACCACTTTACTGGTAGCAGTTTTAGCTATAATTATGACATCTATAATGAATGTTATTAGTTGGATGATAGGTATCTGGAAAGTAAATAATAACAACACAATTATTATTGGTAATTATAATACAAATGAAACATTCATGGCTCAAAAGGCAAAAATTATCACAGAGATTGAATTATTTTATTTGCTTCCTAATCAACGTCGTTGGAGAAATTGGTTTCCAGATATATTGTAATTACAATTAATTTTTTAATCAATTAAATAACTTCTTTCACTGACTGATTATTGGATTTTTTTTTTTTTGAAAAAAATTTTTTTTTGTTAGACTCATTAAAGTACCAATTGATGTCATTCGTAAAAAAATTAAAGAAATAGATGATAGTAATGAGGATGCAGAATATCTTCCATACATTCCTGATAAGCTTAGAAAATATGTTGATGTGCCAAAGAAAAATGATCATGAAACAATAGATTTTAATTCAAAATTTCAACAGATTGAAGATAAACTTAGAAATAATGAAAATAATATGAAGGAAATGGAAAATCGATTGTTGCTTCAAATGCAAACTTTATTGAAAGAAATTAATGAGATTAAAAATTTAAAAAAATAATGTAAATTTTCTTTATTATCTATTATTAACATATGAGGGGTTTTCTAGCAAAAACCGTGTATAAGGCCTCCAGACCAAAATTGAGTTTTCTGCATAATATATGTCTATACCAC